GTGGCCAGGGGCTCCCCGGTCACCTCCCGGTGTTCTCCCCTCCACAGGGCTGCGGCCCGGCTCTTCTGTACTCAACAAAGCCTAGCCCCAGACTCTCTTTTCCAGCTCAGTGCTGCCCAAATCCGGGCAAGAGGCGGCTGTTAGCAGCAGCGCACTGGAAAGCTTATTTCAACCCTCAGGGTATTTTATTTTTTTCGTATTAGTGTAGCTGTTGATTTTGGCCCAGCGAGCAGGTTTTTCGTGCTTGGTGGGTAAAATGGCATTGAATTGCAAGGAAAATGATAACTCTGGGCCTGTAAATAAGATAGGCACATCAATCAGGTGCTGTAAAAGGGAAATTTGTAATAACTCTTAAGTTTTGTGGCCAGAGAGGCTGGCTGTGGTGTGGGAGCAGTGCAGCCGTCTCAGCTTCTGTCTCCTGGCGATTTTCATCCAAAGCCGGCAATGAGGATGGGGAAGTTTTAGGCTGCTGCTTCTGTCTCAGGGCAATAGGTTGATGATGTTCAGTGAACTGAGCACAGACCTGCCCGCTCTACCCTGTGAGTGTGGCTGGGTTGGAAGCCCCAAGGTGAGCCCCTGTGCTCTCCTCAAGCGGTGGTCAGGGAGGCCTTGCCGGGGTCCTGTACGAATGGGAGTGATTTGGGGGTGTGCTCTGCACCCTGCTCTTCCCCAAACCAGCACGCTCAGGCCATGTCCAAATCGGGGTTGTGGTTCCTTGGAGCAGGGCAGCAGTGCTTGCTGCCCCAAAACAGCCTAGATTTGCTCCCTGACCATGATGCAGAGCCCTGTGCCTGCTTCCTCCCTCTTCCTGACCCTCCAACAACCCCGTCAGCAGCCCCATGTCGACTTGTGGATATCTGAGATGAAATCAGTGATGTGGGTCAGTGGGAATGCGACTGCGGACTCTGGGAGCATCCAGGGAGGTGCAGATGGGCTCCTCCAGAAAAACACCTGTGTTCCCCACTGGGGAGCGGATTCCTGCCATGCTTTAGGGCAAATGTGTTTTATTTTTGGATGAGTGCTGCCCAGTGGGTGGTTTGATGGGGATGGGGTTTGTACCCGAGAATTGCGAGGCTGCAAGGTGTGTCCCCCATGGTCCCTGGGTGGAGACATTCAGGTCCTGGCCTCAAACTCTCCAGGCAGTGCTGTGTCTGTGTTTGCTGACAGTTTTATCCACCCTTACTCCAGGTGACCAGCTCCTCTGGAGAGGGGACAGATGCTGTAGTCATCCTGGAAAAGACTCCTTTCCAGGAGGAGAAGGTATCGGACCTGCTGAAGAAGCACACGAAGCTGGAGCTGCAGATGTGCAATGACATTTACAGCACGTACCACCTCTATCCTCCCCCGGAGCTGAGCGGTGAGTGCTCTCGGTCTTGCACAATGGCGGTCCTGGGAAGGCAGCTTGCTCGGTGGCTTGGCTGTGGACCAGCAGTCATGGCTGGGTTGTGGGTTGGTGTGCTCCTGCCAGCTCCGGAGGGGAGGATGCATCACGTCAGGCAGGTGCCACTGCCGGACCTGACCACACCACCCCAGTTGTGGTTTGGCCGACAGCAGCAGACCTGGCTGAGGTGGGGAGATTGGTGGATCGTTGCCGCTCCGAAGGCGACATCTTACTCCCAAGGCTTTGGATGCTGCCGTGTTTCACCCCGTTTCCCTTGTGCTGTCAGACACCTAGCTCAGCTGATGAGTAGCTGGCTGTTAAATGGCCCTCACTTGATTACTTGCAATCATCTGCCTGTGCCTTGATTTAAAGGTGAAGAAGGGCTTGTGGGTCTGAAAGCTTTCCTCCTGTGGGTGTTTTTTTTTTTTTTCCTTCAGTGATGTTGGTTAATCTGGTAGGATATTGTCTCTTTCCATAAGGTTTACCTTGAAAACAGTCTCTGCAGAGCACATGTCAGCTTTTTCTCATTCCAGGGTATCATCTCATGTGCCTTATTTTTGTTACCTGATGTCGCCTGGTAATGACCGCCAGCCAGCATGTTTGCAGGGGGGATTTAAATGCTGGTAACCTTGAGTGCCTGGGGTGGATGGGCACCTGGCCTCTGCCTTTCAAGCTTCTCCCTGCTGATTTCACACATCCGTGTGTTTCGAAACCCAATTAATAACTGAGTGTGATCAGGTCAGATGAGCGGGTTGGAGATCTTCAGTTGAAGGCTGTCATCCTGTGAGACAGATTTTTCTTTTGTTCCTTCACGAAAGCACTCCTATTTTAGCGCTGTGTCCATGGTGTAGGAGGAAGCACTGTCTGGCTTTGGGAGCCTGAGTTGTGCAAAACTCCTCTTGTGCTGTCAAAACCTCTAAATCAGACGTTTCAGCGTTACAATGCCATGTTTCAATGGCAGGAAAACACTGTGACACCACAATTATTGCGGATGCCTTGTGTGGGAAGATGTTAAAGCTATGCTTTGTTGGCTGGAAAGACTCCTGCTTGGGCACCCACTGGGTTTGAGGCTGGCAGCGACTTGCAGCCGTTCCCACGAGGTGGCATTGCAAGACTAAAATCCCCTGGGCCTCTCTGCAGCTGCAGCCCTGCCGGCGGTGCTGGTATTTGACTTCTTTGTAGCACTTTGCTTCAGCACTGTATAACTCCAGCAGTACTCTGATAGCAAGATTTTTTTTAATTTAATTTAAGATTTGCAAAACCCCTTGCTGGGGTGAAAAGGCTGTTAAAGGGTTGCTGGTCTCCATCAGTTCTGTGCCAGGTCCTGCTTTCTCTGAGAAGCTGGAACAAAACCAGGTCTGGGTCTTTGCACGTACCATTTCTGGGCTGTTGTTAAACTAAATCCTCGCTCGGGTTGTTTCTGTTCTGTCTGTCCTCTGTGCTGTGACGCTGCCTCTGTTAGCCACGCTGTTTTTCACATATGGCTCGACTAAACCTGCTGTGCTTTTGGATAAGTGTTTGTGCCATTCCTTTTGCAGGTTTCAGTGGGGAACAAGCCTCTGGCTTCCTTCTGAAGTCTATCTTTTTTAATTACTTTAAAATTTGCCTTTAAAAGGCAGGTTTGGCAGAAACATACCTGTCTTTGCTTCCCACCCCTCTCCTTGGCACCGCTGTGCTTGCTCTGGATGTTGGGCAGCTCCAAGCAGGAGATCAGGAGGGGGCTGTGGTCCCTGGTGCTGCTCTCCAGGCTCCCTGGCTCTGAGCGGTGAGTCAGGAGGCTTCTTCCTTTGAAGCAATTCAGGGCCAAATAGCTGTTTTTGCGGGCACACTGCTTGAGCCGCTGGCGGGCAGCTGGGCTGGCACCAGAGGAAATGGTCGTGTGTGTCAGGAGGGGAAGGAAATTGCCCTTTTGAGCTGAGTCATGGCCCAAGGGGGGAGTCTGTGTGAGGAATGCAGCTCATAAACCTAAAACGAAGGAGGAGAAATTTCCTGTAAGGCTGCAGGCAATGTCAGGGCTTGTGAGAAAACCCTGGATGTCGAGCGATCGTGTGGAGACCCAGTGAGCCCTCGCACTGCGTCTGTCTTGGCCTCTTGGTTGCAGGGTTAGAGAGATACAGGGTTTTATCTCCTGGCGCTTGCAGGTTTACAACTGGTTATCGCGATGCAGTAAAAGTATTTTGCAGAAAAGGTCAAACTTTGGCATTAAGCAGTTCCTCCAAAAAGTCCCGCGTTGCGGTGTCACACAGAAGAGGAATTCGTCCTGGAGATTTCACAGCATCTTGGGTGGCTAAGCCCCTCCACCTTCAGCTTCTTGCTTTCTAAAGGTAAGATAAACCTCCAGACTGAGGAAATCATGACCGCAGGTGACTCGTGATGTTGGGCACACTGACGGTGTGAAGAACTGCCTCCGGGTCCCTCCGCTTTTTCAAAGTGTGTTTCTCAATGCTGCCTTTGTGGTTCAGAGTTCCTGGGGGGGGGCCCTCTTCATTCACCTGGAGTTTCATGATAGCTGAAAGTGGATATTTTCTTCAGCCTTTCCCCGCCTCCTCGTTTAAGTGAGTTGGATGCTGTTCCCTCTGTGGAGTCAAGCTAACACAGGCCTCATGCGATGAAAGCTTCTTTTGTCTTGATGGTAAAAGAGCCTGCGAGGCTGGGCCAGTCGCTTTGTTTGCATGGCGAAGGCAGAGAAAGGGAGGCCAAAAGAAGCACATTACCTGAGCAAATGACTCCATTCTGCCCCAGGAAGAGGAATTTCACTCTGCTGCAGCTTAAAGATGAGACTTAGGGAGCCCGCTGGCATGGGGACATACGAAGATGGCGCCGATCAGAAAGGACCTCATCTGTGTCTTGTTTGGCTCATTTGTTTTACTGGCCACTGGGAGAGATGTGTCAAGGCTAAAATGGGAAATAACATTTGCAAACCAGCTTAGTAATGGTCAGAGTTCATCTGAAGGGCAACCTAAAACCACCCGTCTGAGGAGGAGGACATTTGTGAACGAGTCTGCTGGGAGGAGTGTCGGAGAGCATGCCTTCTGATTGTAACTGCCCCGCTAACAGCAAAGGCAGGTGCGCATAACTGTAAGGCAAGTTGCTGGATGTTACATAGATTTAAGAGGCAGTTTATGCCTAAAGGTGTGAGGTCATGGTGGAGGAAGCCCGAGCTCTGGGACTGTCCCTTGCAGGGAGAGCAAGGGCCACTTTCATAGCAGGGAAAAGATTTTCCTGCGGACAATGCTTGACTGCAAAAGCCAGATGGTTCAAGCAACATGTTCCCCAATAACATCCAGCTCCTGGTGTTGCTCACACCCATTTAGCAAGGAGAGCTTGCTGTTTCCAACAAAAAAAGGCAACCGTTTCTTTCCTGGCTGCTGAGGAATACTGTGTTTCACAGCACCAAAGCTGTGCTGCTGTAATTCAAGGGCTCTTATCAGTCCTTAAAGGAGTCTTTACTCGCTGGGCATGGCTCATCCCTGCACTGCAGGCTGAAGCTTATTAAAAACATCTAAAAATGAGCGCATCAGGAGATGCTCCGGCTCCATCTCTCCGACATGGGGTGGAGAAATTGTGGGAGAAATGGGAGAGCTTGGAAGGAAAGTATTCAGTCATGCAGGAAGTGATACATGTCCCTGTTGTCCTGAGCCCAAAAAGCGTCTAGTTTCAGGCAGTGAGAAGCTGGAGAAACTTGCATGAGCTGCACTGGGAAGGCTAGTTTGTCTCGGTGTTTCCACGTTCTGCCTGCCTGTGGGGCTTGCCCATCAAAGAAAACTCTTTCCATTTACACTCCAGTAAAAAGCTGGAACCTGAAGCAGAGGCAGCGTGTGGGGTAGTTTAGGGGAAGGTGGGAGGTATCGTCATGCCTTGCTCTATTTTTTGGACGGGATTGGTAACCTGCAAATTTTTTCTTTGCTGTGGCTGTTGCAGCTAGATGAGTCCTCAGTCCTTGGTCTGTGGATGAGAACCAGGGGCCAGACAGCCTTGGCAGAAGTCCCCAGCAGCGCGCTTTGCTTGCTCTGGCATGTGCTGGCCTTGGAGACTGAGCTCTTGCAAGCTTTATCCTTTTGTGCTTTTATTTCATTCAATAATGAGCCCAGATGTCTGAGGCAAAGCTGTGGTTGTACCTGGTCAGGAGTGGGTTAAAATTAAGTGTTGCCCTGTGACTGCTGCGCAGTTGTGATCATACAACTAAATAAACTATGTTAATAAAGCAGGGGAAGGGGGAGGTTGTGCATCGTTATATTTAGCCAGGGCTGCAATGGAGGAGATACCTGGCGATGGGAAGACAGCAGCAGAGCTGTATGCAGCAGGAAAGATGTTTGTGGCGGGGTGGGGAAACCCAAACAACATTGCAAGAGTGCAAATATGACTTTCTTTGCCATTTCCTGGGCTTGGCACCTTTCTGCACCTGACAGTTGAGTTGATTAGGCAGATTATAAGCCAAATTTCAGCTTTCTGCTAGCAAAGGGCGGTAAAAGTGCCCCTGCCCAAAAGTAGAAACAGGTTGTTCCTGCCCTGCATGCTTCTCTTGGCTTCCCAGCATGTTTAAATCTATTTAAAACAAAACTGCTGTGGCCTGTTTCAGCATTGCTGAGTGGGATGGGAGAAGCGAGCGCAAGGCATCTCAGCGGGTCGCCCCAGCCTCTCCTTGCTGTTTGCATCAGTTTGAAATCAGATGTGCCGAGCTGCAGGGGGATGTTGGCAGAGCTTGGGGACAGCGTGGCACGAAAGGGGATGCAGCATTGCTAGTGAGCCTGGAGTGCGCTTTCCTACGTGCGCAAGCTTTCTCTACTTCCATCCCATCTGTGAGACGTAGCTGTCCTGCGCCGTAGGGAGCATGGGATAATGTGTTTCGTCCTCTCCTCTTGGTGACAGCTGCCTTCAGCCACTTTTTCCATAAGTTCCCCAAATGAGCTGTATTTTGTTTTGGTTTTTTTTTTTTGTCTTGGGTTGTTTTTTTTCTTTTGTGTTTAGCAGGACTGCGGAGAAGTTTTGTTTTTGGTCATTCTTATAATTCCTTTTTTCCTGAACAGGCAAACAATGGTGTGGTGTATCCCCTCAAACACCCTTCGTAGGGTGAACTGGCTGATCAGTTGTTCTCTACCATTGCAGTACCTCTGCCTCCTGCTCATCCAGATTCCTTCAATTAAACTTCCTTTTTTATAACCTCCAGTTAATTGATGGTCAGTCCTGACTTCCAGAATAAACCACAGGTGTTTCGTGGTGTCCCTGGGCTGGTGTTCAGGAACATGCTGGCTGATGTGACTCAGACATGAGCGGAGACAATCCTTGACCCTTCAGTGAGTTTAAAAACCCACATCACGTGTCCAGCAGTTCTTTACCTGCATTTCCAGGCCAGGGTAGGTTTCAGCTGCCCCACGGTGTACGTGATGCTTTAATGCACATGGAGTCTGCCAAGAGCAGGGCGGCTTTTAAAATGGAGCATTGAACGCGGCCGGTCGCCAGCAATGGAAAGATTTCGCGGCGAGCCTGGTCTCGCCGTGGATGTTTCCTGCGGCTGAGCCCAGCCTTAGCTGGGACTTTGCATCCCGTGCGCAGGCTCCTAACCATAGTCAGGTTCTGAGCATTTATCAAACAGCTTCTCTGGCTGTAGTGACTTATGCTAATTAGCATTGCTGGGGTGTTTTGGGGTTGATGAGACCTCTAGAAGGGAAATAATCATTAGTGAACCACAGCCTCTCCCCCCCTCTCCTCTTCCAAACATCTGCTGCTCAACCGCAGCTGCACATTAAGGGTTTCTCTGATCTTGCACTAGGCTTTAAAGTTATCCTAAGTGTGTCTCCCCACTATGAGCAGCCACCCCCCAAATTGGGGAGGTGCCGCAGAAGCTGAGAAAGGTCCTCTGCAACCCCGTCCTGGGCAGCGCATGGATTTTGGGTGTCACCGCACCCAGCATAGAGGGGTTTCTGCTGCAGTCCCTGCTCTTTTTTTGGGGTGGAAAATTAAATTGCGGAAGTTTCAGCCTGAGGGTGGATGTGATATTTTCTTATCTTTTGCCCTTTTGTTTTCTCCATAGTGTTTTGCTGATCTTAAAGTGAGGAGCAGAGGAGCTACAGCCTTGTCTTTTTTTTTTTTCTTTGCTATTACATCATTCTGCTAGAAGTGCTAATTGAGTCCTGGAAAACAACCTTGTCTGAACATGTGTATGGTGGGAATCAGACCAGACTGCCCTTGTGGTTTGCATTTTCATATTTCATGTTACCAGCATTTTCCTGTGGATTTCATTAAGCTGGGTTTGGCATGAAATAAAAAGGCAGAGGCTCTCAGCTTGTGCCACGCCAACCTTAGGAAAAGCAGAAACCAGAAAACTGAGAAAAAATAATAAACCCACCCTAAAACCTGGCTTTAGGAACAAATAGATACTTATATTCAGTGTCTGTTTAGCATATATACATATATAAAGCGTGAAGCATGATGTTCCATAATACCCTGATGAGTGTGCAGCCCATGGTTTTTGTGACCGTGGCAGACCTTGGGCACAAGCTGCAGTGTTTGCAGTGCCCCAGCCACTTGCTTCGTTCTGATCTGCTTCATGGGGTTTTTCTCCTTCCTGCATTACGCTTTATAGCAGATCTCAGTTAGATGGGAAGGCGCAGGCACTGCTCATACCCTTGGAGTTGCGGCAGGCTCTGTATCGCACATCTAATCTTGGCCAAAGGGGGATATTTTCTGAGTGTTTTACCACTGGGGGTAAGATTTAGTGCTGCCAATGTCAAAGCTGCCAGGTTGACGAGGAGCGCACTTGCACCCTGTTTAATGCCACAGAAATTGCGCAGCAAAGTTTTAATCTCAAGGGAAACAAAAATTGTTTTCCTTTTCCTAAAGTAAACAGCTAAATGCTCTTTGTTTGTCAGTTAGTGCAGGGGAATCACTTCGCTTTCTTCCTTCAGTTTGTCCCATGCTGTGTTAACCCATCAGCACGTGTTGTTTGCTCTGGATCCATCCCTGTGCCCTTGACCTCTTTGCCTCCTGCGCACGGGGCTCGAGGCCAAGCATCGTGATGGCTGAGAGCTCTGGGAAGGAGCCGCTCCTTGAGCCAGCCCCAGTACAGCCCCGCTGTTTGCAGCTCGTGCGACCTCTGGTTTCGTGGCTGGAGAAAGTTGCTGAGTGCTCGCTCGATAACATACCATAAGCTTCAGATTTAAGTATGAGGAAGATGTGACTCTGCCCCTGGGGTCGTGTTTCTGTCTTGGTTGTTGACTGCATATAAACTCTTCCCTAGGGAGCCCCAGCTCTGCCCTGATGTTGCTGATGTGCCTAAAAAGACAAGTGTGGGAAAAAAAACCTTTCAGACAGCGAACTCTTCCACCTGAACTGGAAAGACAGGCCCCGGCTGTGTTGTTGGCTTATCCTTCCTCAAGAAAAGCAGTGGCAGTCTGGGAGGTTAAAGCACTTGTTTGCTTTCCATGTCTATTCTCCTCCACCCTGCTATTTTAGTGGTATCTTTTCAAAATGTATTAGTGTGGCATTTATTGGAAGGGAAAACAGGTTTATTGGGGACTGAAGGAAGTAATGTGGGTTTCATCTGTGATGGTAATTCAGTAAACATATTTGTTTCTAGAGATAAAAACCACAGTGGTGTACCCTGCCACGGAGAAACACCTTCAGAAATACCTCCGTCAAGAAGTTTATCTCATCCGCGAAACCTGGGAGGATTACAAGAACATAACGCTGCCCTTCATCCAGTCCCAGAGCTTCAGCATCCAGGTATGGATACCGCTGCTTCGCTGAATTGTCTGGGCACTGTGTCCCTCTGCAGAGATGGACATCTTTGGTCTCCTCCTTTAACACGCTGGGCTGCCAGATGTCTCCTCTGAAGCCCAGTTTGGAGTCAGAAGAGTCGGGAGTGCTCTGCCCCTGTATCCCTCTTGGCTGTTCCATCAGCGTGTTGTCAGCTCCATGGGAGCAGATGCTTTCATCTGGCAGGGCAGCCTGCTTCTCAAACACGACTGGCTGCAGATTATTTCTGCAGGTCCCGAGTTGTGATGCTGCCTGCTTCGCTGCCTGCCAACTTATCTGTTGGACTTTGTTGAGGTTGTCTGACCTTTGGGGTAAGCTCAGTGATGCCGAACAGGGCTTTTTCTCCCTGGTGTCCCCATTCTTCTGTCCTCTGCAGCGTCCTTCTCCATCTTTGTAGAAAATCATTTGCCTTGGAGATGGACCTGAAGTCGCCTTTCTCAAGCCTTCTGGAGACTTGCTGTACTGGGGCGTTCCTCCTCTCCAAGGGTGGCTCCCTGGGCATTGGTGCAGTTCGCTGGACTTTTTCGGAGTCTCTTGGGTGTTGTGGGAAGGCAGAGATTGCTCTTGGATTCCTGCATCACAACTCACTCCTCGGGCTTTGCCTACAGCTCCTCTGCCTTTCAGCCCTTTGGTCTGTATTCCATGTGATGAAGCTGTACTTTTAGTGTCCTCCTTGCGCCGGGTAGCAGCAGTGGACTTTTTTCCTGTTTAACCTCCTGTTTGACCATTCCTCTCCCTAGCTTTCCTCTTTAGAGACCAAAGGAACACACATCTGTAGGGACCAGTTCATGCCAACCTGTGCAGAAGAGGGAATAAAACAAATCCTGCGTCTGCTGAGGCCATCTGTTAAAAATAAACTCCTTTATCTCAAAAATAAACCCAAAACCAAACAACCACAGGCCTTGGGTATCCCCCCACACCTCTTTCCTGTTGCCTTAAACAGCAGCAGAACGGTTAACAGGGTTTGCTGTTGCAATGTCTGTTTTCTAATCGCTTGCAGATGAATGTGAATCCTGCTTTCCACGTCTTGTACCAGAAGGCACCTTGCAAGCTGCAGTGTGCACTCAATTACTCCTTGCCTGCCTGCTTTTCTTTGCTCCATAGTTCAGCGCTCTCGCTGGCAGCCAGGCTGCAACACCAGTAACACGGAGGCGGCACTTACTACCTGGAGAAAGACAAGAGCATGTTTCCACCAGACAGCAACCTGCACAAATATTTTCTCCGTGCTTTTGCGCTGAAGGCTGTTACGTTTCCTGATTGTAGCAGCCGCCCTCAGAAGTTGCTTGAGATCGTGCTCTCTGCCTCTTCCACCACATGCTTGCGAGCTGATTTCTGTGCATGGAAACATATTCCTGATGACCATCAGGAGCATCTGCTGAGAAATCATGGTCAGCACAGTCAGTCCTTGACCTCTGTGATTTGATAATGCTGTTTCTTGCCTTTAACTGGTTTTGACGAGCGGAAGGGGAAATGTGAAGGGTAACAGAAATATCGGGGGACTACAGAAGCGTCTCTGTTTCCTGCTGGAGGATGCAAAGCGTGGATGCTTTCAGTATAATAGTTTTATTGTGGTGCCAGTCTCTGGACATGTGTTGTCCTCGCTGGCCTTGTGCTGGAAACAGCAAGAGCGGTCAGCTGGTGCCCATCACATGAGGCAGCATTGGGTTTAAAATTCAGCTCATCTGATCAGTGAACTTATTTAGGGCACTGATAGCTTGGCACTTGTGAAAAGAGCAGGCATTAAAAAAAAAAAAAGCCGAAAGGGTAAACTTTCATTTCCTGCTCTGCTTCCTGCCCTGCTTTTTTTACCAGGGTCACAGAGCACAGCGATTTTGTGCTTTGCTTTCCAAAATCGCTTTGAGAATCTAATGTTCTCTGAGATGTTGTTGCTAGGAAGAAAAGGCCAGAAATTTAAGCAAAAAAAATCCCAACCCAACAGATCAAGGGAGGAGAGGTTGGTTTCTCCCTAAGGGTATATTCAGGTCAGTTCACAATGATACTAAGTTTTGATTGGATTAATTAAGCTCCTGACAGAGTTCCCCAAAAGGGCTGTTTCTTTATCTCGCGTGTGTCGTGTGCACAGCAGGTCACTCGGTGTGTTTGTGAGACTGGCTGCGTCTTCCCTACCCACCTGGGGCAACCAAAATGTTTCATACCTAAACTTCACGGTGAAAATGATGTTTCAAAACAGTTTCAGCTTTCAAGCCATTTTGTGCTGCCTTATCTTCTAGGGACCTGGCTGGGGACTCCCATGGCAGTCCAATACTTAAGACAGACTTAAGCTAGAGCATAAAGTGCATTTTGCAGGTGTAAAGAAGGATGCTCAAGCTCAGGTTGGTAGCCAGGAAAAGCAAAGATGCTTTCCGCTTGTCTTACACTATCACTTATCTCTGGTCTCTTCTAGTTTGTGGCCGAAACTCATCTCTGCACGGTGCTTTGCTTTGAAGGAGGAGCGCAGGGGGGTAACCAGAGCAGGGATTACAGGCAGTCTGGGGGCTGAAGCTTTAAGTATAGAGGAAGAAGAGTGGTGAGCTGCTTTTTCTAATCAGCCAGGAAACCAAGAGATGTGCATTGCCCAAGAAAACACAGGCCTTCCCTATTTGTCTGGTGAGCACTGGCTGCAGCAGCCGGAGCCACATCCAACCTCAGGCTCACAAGCAAGCAATCTGCTCCTTCCTTTCTGAATGGGAAAAATCGGCTGAGTTCCATTCCCAGACCTAGCTGTAAAGGTTTCAGCACAGCTTGGGAGGTAAAAACATGCAAACAGCCCCGTGGTTCTGCAAGAGGCGTCTGCTGAGTCCCGGAAAAGCCGGCTTCTACCCCTGCCTGCCTCACTGGGGTCTGGTATGCTCCGAGTTGCTTGTGCTGGTGGCTGGTCTGTCTGAATGCCTGTACCTGTCCCTTGCCAGCTGGTGGGAGCACAAGAGAGGGCGTGCTGCTGACCCTCAGGGGTTTTGGTGCTTGTAGCAGCTCCATCTCTATCCAGGTAAAGCAGCGAGATCTGGTTTATTGCTAGACCCTGTTGGGGAGAATTATCTCCAGTCCTTTTAGGGGCAAATGCAACTATTTCTACACTGGGTGAAACTATCTCTTGTTCAATTCCTCATCTCTAGCTGTGGCCAGTTCTTAATGCTTGAGAAGAAAACAAAAATCCCTGAATAATTTAGGTACCTGGCAGTGCAGTGCAGTGCCGTGCAGCGGGGTTGGGGGCTATCTTTTCACTGAAGTGCTCATAATAGCCTGGAGTTTGTTGCTGGAGTGTTTTATGGATAATTAACTACAAATGTTCCCAGCCATGAAATTATTTTGTCATCTTACAATCAAGTAATTGGGGTGGTGGTTTTTTTATATTCTAGTTGCAGGGAATGTGCACTGAATCCATGAGCTTGGGCTAAATGTGCCTGAGGTGGTGTGTTTTTTTTTTCCCCTCTGCTGGTTTGTAAATCTCAAATTTCTCTTTCAGTGGGTGTATAATATCCTGGAGAAGAAAGCTGAGGCTGATCGAATCGTCCATGAAAACCCAGATCCTTGCAATGGCTTTGTTCTAGTTCCAGATTTTAAGTGGAATCAAAACCAGGTTGGTTTGCTTCTCTTATCTTTGAAGTGATGCTGCTTGTGTGAAAGTAATCCAGAGGAAATGTCCACTTTTGCGCTACTAATAGCACACTAATGAAAGTTTTAGTAGGAGTATGTGTCCTTCCTGTTCGTGCTGTCGTTAAGTGATGATATTGCCAGGGCCTTTTATCACATGCTAATTGTGGACACCGCAAAACACAGGCTGTTCTCACTGCTGCTGGGTGATTTATTTATTAGCTTTGCTTTCTCTTTCCTGTATTAGCCCAAATGTTGTTGTGATGTGTTTGAACCTAAATCCAGCTGCATGCTTGTTTTGGTTGGGTTTTTTTTGCAAGCCTTAACTTTGGGCGCAAACTGGGCAGATGTGTTGTCCTTGCTGCAATTAACTCTCTTCCACACAATATTAAACAGATGGTCATTAGCTTATGAGCAGCTGCTTAACCCCTTGTGGGAGTGGCCACTCATTGAAACGAAGAAGTTTTTAAGTCCAGGCTGTAATCCTAAATTGAGTGGCTCATTATTTCCTTGGGCTCTGGCTCCCTTTCGTGCTGTATTGCTGGGGACTTGCCTGGGGAGGTGAAACTCCACACATAGACTGCTTGAAGTTGGTGGAGTCAAAAAAAAAAAAAACAACCCAAAAAAACCCCCCTTCGTGTTTCTGATCCTAAAAATGCTTCTGCAGGTGGCAGGGGGGAAGTTACTATATGATTAAAACTTAGAAATGGGAACTAACAACTAAGAAAACGGGAACACAAGCCTGCTCGTGGGCAACACAATTCTGTATTTCTGTTCTGGGAGCACCTATTTCTGGTCTGGTGATGAGTATCCTGGGGGAATGACTTGGGGAGGACAGGCAAGTAAGTCACTGCAGGGTAGTCTCTGGTCACCATGAATTCCTTGCACATCAGCTATTCAAAAAATCCCTTGCCAAGCTCTGATGGGGTAACGAACCTCAAATTTCCATTTGTTCACTGGGAGGCACGACCTTCCTCTTGGAGAGACTTTGCAAAGCGGGTGATACACAGCAAACTTGCAGTCGTACACCACCATGCCTTGTTCAGCGCCCTTTAGTTTCAGGGTGGCAATATTTAGGGATCACAGAAAGTGAAGCATGCTGCCCCTTTCCTTGCTTCGAGCAAAGCTTTGGTGTAAATTCTTGGTCACTGCAACTGAGCTTCGCAACTCGCATCAGGATTGGAGACGGATGGGCTAAAAATTGTGCTTTAGCTTTCTCTAGAGACCTGTTGTATCCACATCTTGCAGCTGGCACGGTCAGGGAGTGCTTCTGTGGTAGGATTTGTCTTTAGGGGATGTTTCCCCATGCTGCTGTTGCCTCTTGGTATGCTGAACAGGATCTTCTTGATTTCTTCCCAATGGTTGGGCTGCTGTCTGCAACTGCTGTCTGCAAGGAGAGAGCTGTCATCCCTGGGGCTATCCAGGACCTTCGCATTGCCGGTCTCTTTCCCAAGCAGGCGAGCCAGCATCCCAGCAAGGGCTGTCGACTTCTGCCTTTGAGTCAAGTAATTTCTTCCTGGCTGTGGGTGATGCTGAGCCAGAGCTGATCCAGCAGCCCCAGGGCTGCCCGTGAGCACCAGTTCCTTCTGCTGTGTCCCACCAAACAGGCAAGGCTACTAAATTAAATTAGGGAAGCGAGACAGAGTTCCCAGCAGGACTCTCCGAGCCTCCCTTTAGAAGCATTGCCTTGCACTAGCTTAGCACCTTGCCTGCAAATGCTGTGAATTCACCTGTAATTATTTCAGGCTGATGGGCGGGAGGAAGATTGCTCGTTTGCATCGTGAAGTCTCCACGCTTGCTGCCAGACTCAACCTTCTGGGCACTGCATCAGTTCCTGCGGCCTAACCTTGAGAGTGGTTTGAGTTGGTTTCTTGGTGTGGGGTTTTTTTGTTGTTGGTTTTTAAATTTTCTACTTTTTTTTTTTTTTGTGTGGGGCTCACCCCCCTTTCTTTTGAGTTGGTTTCAAACCCGCAGGAGCCCTGAGGCGTTGCCTGAAACGATGCCCGGCATGACATCATTCAGGGCCTTTTTAGCAACAGGCTTATTTGTTTCAAACAGCAACATGCAGATGTTGTTCTAAGGAGAAGAGATGTTTGCTTTTCCTCCCGTCAGCCAGCCCTGATCCAAAGAGGACAAGCTGATATGCCATATTTTTCTGGAGCTGTGCGCAGGCGGCTTTGGGAATCAAACCGAACCATGAGCATCGCTGTGCTGGCTGGGTGCAAATAGCAGCTTCATATTATGAGAGCCCCAAGTCAGGGTCCTGAGAGCATCTTTTGTCATAAGCATCTGTTTCCATCTGGGTTTCTCACAGCCCTGAAAAGATCTGCAGGATCCCAAATATATAAACCCTTTGCTTTGCAGTGTTTATATTAGAAAGCCACTAACTGAGTTGAAGGAGATGGGGATTTTTATTATTTCTTTTTTTTTTTTTAAGTGTAATGACCCACAACCCTATGTCTTGTTAAACATTGAATTTGGTAAGTGCTTTGGGAGATGCCAAAGGTCTGGCTGAGAGCTGCTGAACGGCTGTATTGTACTGCACTGGGGTTGTCCGGTGACTGATTAGGTCTTAAAAATAGTTATTTATAGAACTGGCGCAACTGGAAAGTGGCTGGCTGTTTGCACAGTGGAAATATAGGAAGCTTTTCACTCGGAAAAATCTACAGTCGCAATTTTGGCCGCTGCGCTTCACTGTAAATCCTCATCTGAGTGTGGAGATAAACCATTTGCTTGCTCTGCAGAAAAGGCCGTGCTCGGTGTGACGTCTGTGCGTGGGGGTTGCTGGCAGACCCCGCAGCCTCCTGGGCTCGAGCTGGTGGGTGCCTCAGTTTCCCCCACATAGCAGAGAGGGTGCCAGCACGTTTTCTGCCAGCCTCAATCTCTACTGGGACAACATTTTTGAGATGCTCAGGGAGACGCTGTGAACAATGTGCAAGGGCAACAGCAAGTGCTGTGTTTATGGTAGAAAAAGAGTTGATGGATCGATCAGCTTTTAAAGCTGAGAAGATTATTTGTGATCCTGCTGTTGATCGTTTGGGGTGAAGCTGTCCTCTTCTGCTTATTCCCAGACAAAACCCAATTCATCCAGAAATGATGCTTTGAGGTGCAGTGGATTTGTGGGCGAGCACATCTTGTACTGGGAGATTCATATTGGATTCAGCCCAGCTTGGGTGTGGGTTAAACATGACAATGGGTACCCCTTTATAACACAGCCTGGAAGGCTGTGGTTGGGGTCTCGGTTCCAAAGTGCTTGTGCCTCTGTCTGCCCTTTCTGTGGTCACTTTTGTCACTGTCCTCCATCTCTCTCCAGCTGGATGACCTCTACCTGATAGCCCTCGTTCACTGCCGGGAGGTCAAGTCGCTTCGGGACCTCACCGCTGAGCACCTCCCGCTACTGAGGAACATCTTGCAAGAAGGCAAGGTAAGTGCCAGGCTGGTCCGACGCTGCTGTCCTGGCCCGGGGAGCATGGCCTGCCTGCCACAACATTACTGCCTGCGTTCTCTGGCAGCTCTCCAGCTGACCCACACACAGCATCTGTGTGGGCACCGGTAACCAAGAGATGACAATACGTCGTGAACTGGGGCTGCGCTGCCCTTTCTAGCATCTCTGCCCGGAGGCCCTGGTCCCTGCTGCTCTGCCAGCACCTTCCCCTGGGGCATAGAAAAGCAACACCTCATTCAAGGTGTTTCAGGAGTGCTCGATACTTCTCTGTTAGGAGTGAGCTGCAGGAGTCGAGCCCTGTCCTCCCCATATTGATAACTTCCTTCCCCTTGACCGTTTTCACTGGCCGGCAAGTTTTTCCCAGCCCTGTGACGGGGCATGCTTGGTAGATGGATGTGTGATAGCTTGTCTTTCCTTCACTGCGTTAGAAATTTGGAAAGTAATTGCACTGGGGAAAGCGGAGATTAATTAACAGATTAGTCAGGGGATTGCAGTGTGCTGAGCAGTGAACCAAGCCAGTGTGCTGGATTTTGCTGTTGCTGTTTATAGCTTTAATTACACCGGCTGGTAACAGGATCCCTGTAACTTGCCGAGCGAGCCGAAGCGATAAGGGTGGAAGGGAAAATGATACGAGCAGAGAGCACGTCTCGTCACGGAGGGAGAAAAGTGGGGCAGCCAGAGGCATCGCTCCATCCCTGCGGAGGCTGAAACGGAGGATGGGGAAGAGCTCTGTCCTTCCCAACTTCCCCCTCTCCCTTGCTGTGAGGATGGAGGAAGCAGAAATCACTTCTGCCTTTCTCTTCGCCTTTCGTGCCATCCAGGGATGCTCCTTTCCGTCCGTAGCAAGGTCTGTCTGTCCATGTGCTGCCTGCCCCCAGCTGCCCCGTGCCCTCGCTGCGCATGGCTAGTCCTGACCCATGGCAGTTTTTTTTCTCCTTAGGAGGCCATCGCGAAGCGCTTCAGTGTGCCCGGATCCCAGCTGCGAATCTACCTGCATTACCAACCCTCCTACTACCACCTGCATGTGCATTTCACTGCCCTGGGCTACGATGCCCCGGGCAGCTCCGTGGAGAGAGCCCATCTCCTGGCAGATGTGATCGACAACCTGGCGATGGACTCCATGTACTACCAGAAACGGGCTTTGACCTTCGCCCTTCGGGCTGATGAACTTCTGTTTAAGAAATTCCAGGAGGCAGGAAGGGTGTGACCTGGCAGAGGTGCTTTCGTATCTTTTTATTTTTAATAAATGCCCATTTTCAGGGTGTTTTTTTTTAAAAGGTTTTGGTGCTTTTATTTTTTTTTAACTCTGATTTTGTACAAATTGGGACTGACGGCCCATTGCTATGGCAACCATGTCTTCTGCTAAGTCAATTAAAATGTTGACTGAGTAACCCCTGTTAGTGTGCTGGTTTTTACCAGGGTTGTAGCACCAGACTGGGCACCTCTGGGATGCAGCAAGCAGAGGGGTTTGGACAGGAGGGTCTGTGTGCATCCACCTTCTCCACCCAAAATACAACCCCTGCCACCACATGTCAAGCCCAAACAGGGGAGTAGGCAGCTTGAGGTGTCCAAGAAAACCCACCATCCTCAGTAACTTTCACTTATTTCCTACGGATTTACCCTTGGGAGTGGGATTGCAGCTTTCCTGAGGCAGGGAGGAGTTTCTTGCTCCAAATAAATCAAATTACTAACCCGAATCCTCACCCCTCCCATCCGGCTGGCTGCTGTGAGCTCGGTGAAGGCTAATGAGACTGTGCCTGCTGCTGGATCCCCAATCTGAGCGCCATCACCTCTACCCTGCTAATTAGTCATACATCTGGCTTAAATGAGCTTGTTTTAAAACGGCAGCCCCTCCCTGACACAGGCTTCTCAAGGTTTTGCAGGGATTCCTCAGTGTGCTTCTTAAAAAAACCCCATGAAATATGTAAGATTGCTCTTCCTTCTGCCAGGGTGGTGGCACGGCAGTAAATGCCTTCCTGCAGCTGCAGGGTCCCGGCAAAGGAGCCTGCCGAGACCCTGGATAACTTTGTGACTTTCCAGCTTTGGTGAGGTTTTTCTGCCTCTTTCAGTGAGATACCAACTTCTTCCTCACTGCTTGATTCTGTTTAAATATTCCTCATGCGGTGACCTGGTGAGAGTTGCCTGTGGCAGTGGGAAAAAACGATTTCTATGTGCAAAGAAGCTTGGTCCACTGATGCAGCCATCACTTCCCCTACATCTTTTCCACTGGACACCAACCTCTGAAAACTTCCTGAGTTCTTGCTGCCAAAAAGGGCTCTGGTTTCTGGTCAGCTGGTAACCAGGGATGTAATTGCAGGAATCATCTTGCTGGCTACCCTAGTCAGTTATTTATTCCTTTCAACACACAGGGCTCTAAGGGTGGTTTTTTTTTTTTTCTTTTTCTGATGGTGGGGGGTGTGGGAAGAGATGCGATTTGTTTCCAGGGCTGCTCAGTGTGCCACAGCGCTGCCCTGTGACAGAGCAATCCGGAGCCGGCTGGATTGCAAGTAGCATTGAGACACCTGGGGCTTTGTTTGGCTCATCCGATTAATAAATATTCAGGTCAGGCAGTTCCCTCTTAGCAGGAGGGGAGAGGCAGAGCATCTGCATGCAGCCACCTTTTCTTATTTCTCTGCAAAAATGCAATATGTGGTAAGAAAGCTGGGGTAATCTGCTGGGGGGGGTGGAGTCTTTCCCTCTTGTTTCATATCTACTCATCCCCTGAGCAGAGCACATCTGGGGCCAGAGTTGGTTTAGGAGCTGGGGAGCTGCTGTAGGAGTGGATCTGGAGAAGATCAGCGTGGTTGACTGTCCCTTGGCTCTCTGCATCCCTAGGTTTTAAGTTGCTAAGGGAAAGGGATGAGTTTTTTTCAATACCAGAGTGTTTTTGGCACCAAGAGGGAGCTTGGTCTTCATGGGTGAGGGCACATCACAGTTTTATGTACCCACCCAGGCCAGCCCAGGAATAGAGATGGTTAAACAACAGACAGGACCATTCTGTCACCTGGGGAGCTTCCCTGTTCTTCAGGTATTAAAAAAAACCCCACGTCTTGAAAATAGAGTTTCTGAGGGCTGCGACAGACGATGGAGCAGTACAACATCTTCCGCAGACCATCTGTCTGCTCCCACTGGAGGAATGGCTTCTCCTGGGAGACAGAAAGCGTGCTGCCTGGCCATCGCCCATCTCCTTTGGGAGCAGCGGGGATACGTGGAGCCTGAGACGGGTGCTGTCCCTGCCTGCCCCGAGAGAAGGGGGCAGGGGGATGCACTTGGATGGATCTATGGCTGGAGCCTTCACAGGATTTATTGAGGTCCTGGGGCTGGGTTTGCAAAGCCAGACAGTGGTTCCAGGCTACCGGTTGAGGAAGGGTGATCCCGAGGTGGTCGGCAGGCAGCAGGACAAAGCCGGCTTGTGCCAGGCATGAATCGCCCCATTCTTGTCCCTCTCGAGCAGACGCTGCGAGCCTGGCCAAGGGCATCCCCCTCCTCCTTTATTAATAGATTGTGTTCGCCTGGCTCCTGCTTTGTCCTCGTCACCCTTTTGGGAGCGTTTTGGCTGCGGCATGGTGGTGCGAGGCCGTTCTGGATGGCAAAACCTCTGCCTGTGCGCTCGTGAGGCAAGAAAACAGCGCTGTTCCTCACTGCTGCAGCTGGGGCATTTTCTAAACTGTTTCCTTGATGTGATTTCCAAATAGCTTTGGACCGGGTGATGGTAGAGCTCGTTAGAAACTCACTTCTCAAACAGCCAGGATTTCCGGCCCCCCCCTTTTCTTCTCCAAATTATTTGGCACTCATCACGCTGAATTAATCTAGGTGGCAATTTATCCTTTGTAAATTAAATATTAGGGCAGGGTGTAGTCATTAGCAATGACTAACTACCCAGCAACCGCTCGTGGCATTGTGCTAAGGCAGCAAATACATCTCCAAAGCATGATATTTTCTGGTGGGTTTTAAAAACGTGTCATCTACTGGAGCTGCAGTGGCCACTGGAAGCTCTTTGCTGGTCTTTGGGTCCACCCAAGGCATCCCTTGGGTGATGGGTTACCCAAGGAGATGTGAGTAGGCAAGGCAAGCGCCCCGTGCGTGCCCTGTGGATGCACGACTGGCGTGCTTGGCTGTCCTGAGGTTCCGATGGGGTGGACACAACTGGTGTTCACCGCTTGGCATGGGATCACCATCGTTTCTCCAAACCTTGGAGGAGCTCGGGCCACAGCACTGAGACCTCTCGGCATGGAGATCCCGGGAAGGCAGCTTGTGTGGGAGAGCAGCTCCCCCATGCTGGGTTTGCATCTCTGCAGGGGCTTTTATTCTGCTCTCCGTCCTGTTGATGCTGCCCCAGGCCGTGGCCGTGGGGGTGTGCTCCAGGATGGAATCCATCACCCCAAAACGAGCCCATCCCACCGTCACCAGCGGGAGAGAGCTGGGGACCGAGAAGATCCTGGGAAGCGAAGCTTTGCAGCCTTTTTAAATATTCTGTCTTGGGGGCATGGTAAAAATAGACATTTGGGATGCATTATTATTGCTGGAGTTTTATTGAACGCCGTTTATTGTTTTCAGATGCAATAAACCTCGCGGGGAACCCAAGAGACCGAAGGGTCTAAATATCCTTCAAGCGAATCCCAGCTGCCCCCGCTGAGCTGTGGCCCCAGTAATTGCCCCAGGATTGTCTATGAGCCGGTGGCAATTAAAGCCTAATTACGGTGGGCTTGCCTGTCACCAGGGGTAAAACTCTCTGCCCCGTTACCTCGCATCTCGCCAGCAAGGAAACCCCATCCTACGTAGGTTGAGGGAAGAAGCGAGGAGGCTCTTCAAATATTGATGTGGTTGCTCAATTAGCCTTGGCAATACCGGAGCCATCAGCTCAACAGGTATTTTATCAATTAATATTGTTGGCGCTGGACATGTCGATCTTCAAATGGGGCTGGTGCCCTCCAGGTTCCCCCTAACTCTTGCTTTCCAGCCTGGTAAAGGGGAATAAACTTTGCTGCCTTCAACAATAAACTACCTGCTACCGGAGCCAATATTTCATGTTATTTCCCATGTAAAAATCAGCCTTAATATCGCTAATTATCTGAGGGATTGGCAAAACCCCACCCTGGCGCAGGAGGGCTGGATTTTTGGACCCTAGAAGTCAAAGCTGTGTGGGGTCGGCCGCGGATTTCGTGTATTGTGATGATGGGATGGAAATGAAATCCCATGGGAGACCGAGGTGGCCGGGCACGGGCTGTTCCGGCGGTGGGCATTAATTTCTCTGCAGGGAAAAAAAACCGCCAACAAAAAACCAACCAAACCCCAACAAAATCTTAATATTGAGTTGATGATTTTAAGCAAAGCCGTCCCTGGAGCCTCCGTGCATCGTCTCGTGGG